TTATCCACCTTATATATTGTTTTGCTGAGGGTAATGCTGAGAAAAAGTTGTTTAGTTATTGCGATTTTAAAAAAATTACTTTAATTAACGTGTTCATTGCTATACACTTTTGCGAGCAAGCAGGTGGTAATTATTTACAATAAATTTTATCGAAATAACATCTGCTTTATTTGGAATAAGTAACAAGCTTAACTCATCAGGTTGTTTTTTAGTAATTTACCCAAGTATTAGCCTATTAACAACAGTAAACATTATGTCTTAACGTATTATAAAATTTTTTTCTTTACGTGAATTACATAAAAAATGAAAGTAAAACATATCACCGCTTGTTAACCGTAAAAACGTTGTTTCTTTTATCTGAGGGAATTTCGAACAAATATTTACAAAAAAAACGTTGCTTCTACAGTAGATATTTAAAAAACGCATAAACAATCATAAAATGTTGAATTGTACTTATTTTTTGACCTCCAGATATTTTGTGGCTTATGATAACATTGATAACATCGAACTATCTACAATACTTTTGGAGTTTTCGACAAACAAATACTTTAAACTCATCACACACGACAAACGTTTATAAAGTATATTATACCTGCTAAACGCATATAATTGAACACTTAGTATTTGCATAACGAGGATTAATTAATCAAAAAGTATTCTTAAGCAGGTTTACGAATCATGTTCTTTTCTAATAACCTGTTTTCAATGACAGCAATCATTTATGAAATGCCTCGTTTAATGTTAATGGCAAATTTTTTGTCTTCCTAATACAAGCATAAAAATCGCTAATCAACCAAGTCGTAAAAACGTCAATTACATAGATTACGGTAACCTTCGAAACGCGAAACAAAAAAATTTCGCGAAATAAAACACTGATAACAAATCGTCCTCGGATCCTTTTGTTAATTTGTATCTGGAATTCATAAGCCGTAGCCATCAAGTAAAAGACTCGTCCCGTGTGTTAGCATATCTAAAGTAAGATAATTGTTCCTGGTTGTTGATCAAAATTTTCTAAAGCCTTTTACGATCAGACCCGATTAAATTTCATCTTATCATATCAAGTATTTAGTCTTTGAGATCAATGGCATTGGGAGGCTGTAAACGGTTTCGATCTTGCACTCAATTCGCTCTGTGAGACATAACAGTTATTATATGCTTTTCGTATTCATTTACAAATTGAAATTTTAATGCGCTGCAATATTAAAGTACATAGGTGTATTTATAGTGCAATAATTACTCCGATGAATGTAAAGTTCAAAGATATTGTACATGTGCATACACAAATATAAAATAAGTATTGAGTGCGCACGCATTTCGGTTTAGGTATAGCACAACTTACGTTTGTACTTATATTGTAAATTTAAGAAACATTACATCCACTTACTCGATAGAATATGCATCGCGTATATATTTATGTAAGTAGGCCTAGGTCAAAATAGCGCATGTATAGATGCGAGATTGTTCTAAAACCAACAATGCACTCGCTTTATTTTATAAACTAATATGCAACTGTGTATATGAGAACCAATGAAAACATATTTCTTATCATTATTTGTTGTAATTTGCCTACCTATGCGGCCAGCACAGTAAGCACCATTAAATCGCAGTTAAAAAAGTAGATAAGACAAGAGGTACTTCAAGTAACTGCATATATGTAAAATAAAGTCTGATGCATATGTAGCAATAAACAATAGTTAAAAGTACATTCAAAACACACACCTAATAAAACTAAGTAAAATGTTTAGTATATAAAGCGAATCTTTTATTACAGCGTCCAGAAATTCCTGATTTATATTACATTCCTAAATCCCTAATTCCCTTCTCCTTCAGACCCAAGGATCCAAAGTTTCTGGGCTGACATTTCAAGCTAACACATGATTATTCTTCTTCAATCCAAGGAAGATATATTAAATATTAAAAAGATTCTAGGACTAGATACATATACGCACCAGGATGTTTGATGAGAGAAGAAACAAAAAAATCGAAACATAACAGTTAGAAGCAGGGATAAGATTCCTAAAGTTTGAAGAGAATGGGGAAGATCCAGAGAATGCAGAAGGGAAAGATACAAAACAAACTAAACTTTTGTAAACATGACTGAATTTTCCGTAGAAATCGTAGAATTTATTAGGTAATATCTCAAAATCTTAATTATTTCAAGTTTTGTAATTGTTACAACTTAATTTGTAATATCAACTAAAATACCTTGTAAATTTATTTCTGCTGGGATTTTATTTTTACANTGCTGTAACAGAGCCTAACACAAAAAGTGTTGAATTTAATATTTAAATGTTAGGAAGAGAGTCGGACAAGGATGCACACTGACACGCTACTTTTTAATCCATGTATAGAGGACGCGATAAACGTCAACGATAAGGTAACTTTAGGTATATAGGAGCAAAAGATTGGTATGCTTAGATTTGCAGATGATACAGTATTAGTATTACCATCCGGCAAGGAGGAATAGAGATAGCTTTAAATAAAATGGAAGTGACATTAACTAAAAAAAACATGACATGATGACATGAAAATAAATAAAAATAAATATTGGTATGTAAGGGAAGAAAAAGTAGAGAGAGTGAATATAAAGATATGAGATATATTAGAAGCAGAAATAGGAGTTAAGAAGGGTACAGATAGACATGGATTATCAACATACGATCATCAGACCTAAGACTGGTTGGACACGCACCTCAACTCTTTCCTATCCTGAGCTAATCTAAAACTACAACATCCCACATAATGTAGGTCCACCTTTACTCCTCTTAACCCCTGTTTCTACTTCTAATGTCTCTGACTAGCCCTTCATGCCCGAGAAGGTGTCCTACCAACCTATTCCGCCTATTTCTTACACGGGGAAAACTAAATCTTCATAACAAAGCAAAAATTACAATTTTCGATTATAATGACTGAATTTGCCGTAGAAATAGTAGATTGGTAACTCAATTTTGACATGTTTATTTAAAAATTATTTCAAGTTTCTTAATTATTACAATTGAATTTGTAATATCAACTAAAATACCTAGTAAATTTATATCTGCTGGGATTTTATTTTTACAATTTCTGATCCAAATTGTAATTTTTATTATTTTCACTTACGAAGTAGCAACGGACTAGTGGAATAAATTGTAAATATCGCTTTAATGTCTAGGTAAATTTTCCTTTTTGATTTTCTCCGTGTAGCTGTTGCTGCAGATGAAAAAAGTATAATTTTAGCCGGTCGTCCAGTATTACACATCACGTAGGTACTTTACATTAAATTAAATCAGCGAATGTTATAATACATACATATACATCTATTGTAATTAAGTATGGTGTGTCTTTCCATTTTTATTGGCTAGAGCAGCTTTTTGGTGCTAGTCCCATAGCGTGTGTTGGAAACCATTTTATTTTCCCCACCATAATATATACGATAATAATACAGTCGGTTACCCACAGTTCCCAGATCTAACACTCAGTCTATCTACTTTTCTATCCATACACAATGGGAGCTAGGGAAGCGAATACATATGTGCGTTTTTATCATGTGCTATGATAATAATAATAACAGGTCGATAATGCATTTGAAAACAATGATTTATGGCGTCAAAATACATTTGTAATAAAATCAAGATACGACAAAAATGACACGGCTAACTAGTCACATGTATAATACAGTTTAATTTTCTTTTCTAATATATTATAATAAATAAAAGTAAAAACACAATACTGGAATGCAAGGGAAGAAGAAGTAGGGAAAAGGCGAATATAAAGATAGGAGACGAAAGATTACAAGAAGTGGCTGATTTTAGGTATCTAGGAAGTCAGATAAGTCAGGACGGAAGAGATATAAAGCAGAGGATAGCGCAAGGTCGAGTCGCCTTCGATAAAAACAAGTCACTTCTATGCCCGCGAATGATTAATTTAGAAATTTGAAAAAGATTGTTAAAAGTGTATGTTTGAAACGCGACGCTGTACGGGTGCGAAACATGGACGGTGGGCGCGGTGGAAAAGAAAAGGTTAGAAACGTTGATGACGCAAATGATGAGGATACCGTGGATAGAGAAGGTTAGAAATGAAGAGGTATTAGAAAGAATAGGAGAACAGAGGACTCTATGGAAGTCAATAAGAAATAGGCGAGATAGGTTGGTAGGACACCTTCTCAAGCATGAAGGTCTAGTCAGAGAGATATTAGAGGCAGAAACAGGAGTTACGAAGAATGGAGGTAGACCTAGATTAGATTACTGTTGGCATGTTGCAGTTTTAGTAAAATGCGAAGATTAGCTCAGGATTGGAAAGAGCGTGTCTAACCATTCTTAGGGCTGACGACCTAGTAATGATGATCATGATATTATAATAAATAATTTGAATATAACAACGTGAAGCCATCTGAATAAGTTTTAGTTTCAAGAGCCTAAATCTAAATGTTTCCACCTAAACCTTCAAGTCCTCCGTTTTCCTGATTTTTCCAACACTCCCCATTTGTTAACCTTCTTTATCTACGGCATTTTCATCGCTACATCCCTGCTTTAGATTTCAAAAATCGGCGACTTCTAGTTTTGCAATAACTGCTATTTTTACACTTATTTCTGTTATCAACATATAAAGTCTAAAAATACGCTTACCGTTACATTTATTGCATTTATCATTATACAGAAATTTTGATAAAGTAAAAGAAGAATTAAACATTTATTTAGCAAAATGTATTTCCATACAAGAAGGTCACGATCACGAACGCAAGAAGCGATAAGCGAATGACCAAAATTTTTGGTTAAATTATTATTATTATCTCTGCAGTAAAATTACATGAAACATTAGTTATTTTTAAAATGGAAACAAAATGTATTGCACAATTGCAATTTTTACAGATAATATTTAAGTTTACTTATAACTTATGTATAAGATTGGAGTGTAGATCATCATTGGTGTTTTGTAACAGCGATATCAATAAATGTAATGTGTATATATTTGTTATTATATATACGTATCTATTAATAAATATAAAAAATAATGGCATATAGGCGTACGAGATTGAAATGTCTTATTATTTGAGCATGAATTGTCGCGCAACTATTCACAATTACATTTGAGCAATTAATAAGTTGCAACCTGAAATCCTGACTTTTCCTAATCACACTAAGTTCTCCTGACCTTTCTAGAAGTTATAATGTGACAAAGTCATTATATTTTCAGTTTAAACTCATAACTATCAATGATTTACCTCGACGCTCGACGTCGCATTGACAGTTTTACAATTTACATTCTGGAATCTTTGAACATTTTTGAGCTTTTGTGATTCTTCGAAATTAAAGCGTAAAATCCTTGACATTTGCTGAGGTTTCCCAGATGGGACTAACCGCAATCTAATCGTATGCTCCCGATTTTTTCTATTTGCACCTGGAATCCTTAATAATCCCTGACCATTCTAAGGCTTCCCGTATCTTCCTATTCACACTTTGGATGCGTGCTTCAACTTTCAGTTTAGAGCTTCGTTATTTTTGTTCTGATAAGCATCCCTGCCTTTTCCATATTATAGTAATGGACCTTCCAAGGAATATGAGCTTTGAGATTTTTCTTACTTTTCCGAAAAAATGATCCCTGACATTTTCTAATCACACTGATCACTTCCGATCTTTCTAATAATTTTAAGCCATCATTGGCAATGTTGAGGACTTAAGGCCTTGACATTTCCAGTTTAAGCCCAACTATCTCTGATTTGGCCTGAGTGTTCTGATTGTTCCAAACAAAGCGGAAAATACTTGACATTTGCTGAGGTTCCCCAATCTAACGCAGTCTAATCGTATGTTTCTGATTTTTCCATTTACACCTTCATATTCACACTTTGGATCCCTGCTTCAACTTGACAGTTAAGAGCTTTCATATTTCTATTCTGATTAGTTTCCCAGTCTTTTCCAATTCACAGTTAATAAACCTTCCTAGGAATATCCTTCACTTTCTCTGATTTCTTTGAGCTTTTCCTACATTTCTGAAAAAATGATCCCTGACTTTTCCTAATCACACTGAGCTCATCCAACCCTCCAAGTTATATTCTGTCATCTCTGACAAACTTTAAGGCATGAGGTTCTGGCATTTACAGTTTAAACCCACAAAACTATCAATGATTTACCTCGACGCCGCATTGACTGTTTTACAATTTACATTCTCGAATCCTTGAACATTTTTGAGCTTTTCTGGTTCCTGTAAATCCTTGCCGTTTGCTGAGGTTTTCTGAAAAGCCGCAGTCTAATCGTAAGTTCCTGATTTTTCCATTCACACCTGGAATCCTCGAAAATTTCTGACCATTCTAAGGCGTCCCATCCATTCCCATTCACACTTTGGATTGCTGTTCAATTTGACATTTTAAAGCTTTGCTATTTTTGCTCTGATTAGATAATTTCTCTGCTTTCTCCATTTTATGTTAAGTTATATAACCACCCCAGGATTTCCTTCACTTCTACTAATTCTATTTGAGCTTTCTTTACTTTTTAGAAAAGTTGACATCTTATTAACGTTATCTAATACTTCTTTAATTTAGTATTTTACAATTTGTCCTGGTTTGGGATATGTAAATTTTGGCTTCTTTGAAATCGACAAATTTTCGACAGTATTGTCAATCTTTTTAGTATTAGGTGTATTCTGTTCCTAAATACGTTTGACTGGAAGAACCCATTATCACTTAATAAATTATCTATCGGCGATCCGAAAAGGTCATCGGTAATCTCTAAAAGTTTTCGGACGTATAAGAATTGGTCAAAAGGATATTGGCCGAACACACACAGTATTTGTGAACATATACAGATATAGATAATATACTTAAGCAAGTTATTGTTGTGTATTATTGTTCCTCGACTATTTACATATTATTGTTGCTTTTCGCAAACATCGCAACCGTAGGCTCGCACATGCGAACGCTTTTATGTACACGGATAGGTGTATATGTATAGGTACATACAGCACTTCTCTATGTACAAAACAATAATGTTCCATAGTTGAACAACGTTTGATGGTGTGTGGCAGAGATAATAGGAGTGGTGACGTTGCGTTGGCATATGTTGTGCGCGGTGTTTGCGACTGTACCGCGATTGTGCAACGCGATCGCGAGATCGCGTAAATGTGCCGCACCATAGTGACAACGACCGGCATTAGACGACGCGCAAATGCAGTTATTACTGACCTACCCTACTGTTTGTAGTCGTTGGCATATAGTCGCGTTAGCCGGCCCTTCGTCCTGACAAAACCGTGCCAAAAGGGCACACACACACACGACACTCGAATATAGGTTTACGTGCCTTACACATTACAGATTTACTCTTGGTACCAAGTCACTTGCCAATTTATTTATCGAAAGTGAAAAAAAAATAAAAAATAAAAAGTCACTGTCTGTCATCAGTCGCCGCGTTTTATGCAGTGTTCGTTAGTTCCACACGTGTATTGTTGACATTGTTGTTTGTTTTAATGAAAAGCCGACGCTAGACCACTCAACTCGTTCGACGCCTCTCGACGACGACGACGACGACGATCGCCGCGACGCAGCTGTGATGAAATATGTGCACGAGGATTTTGTTACCATTCACTCTGGTTAGTTTAGAATATTATTTGTCTTTTTTTCATAATTTTCAGACTTAAACTAAATTTTATTGTAGATAAGAAACTATACATAGGTACCTACTTATACCACATATACAAGAGGAATGTCACCTAAAAATTATTTAAATAAAAATCCATAAGTTTTATGCGATTTCATTAAAAAAGCAATGTTTTTTTCCTTAATAAATAAATAATCAATTGTCCTACTCGTCTCGCTGTAGGTGCACAATTTCAAAAAACACAAAATTTATACGGTCGTGTGGAAATTTTTGTTTAATTAATTTACGTCGACACAGATTAGTTTCATTCTTTTAATGATTTTTCGTGTATACGATACCAAAATATCGTTTTGGTATTTTTTCCGTTCGCAGAAAACAATCCTCTTATCTGTTTTGTGTGTTTAAAAATATATAAATCGGATACATTTCGTACACAACACGTTATTTCTGTTTTATGTGGCGCAATCTCGTTTTTATATCTTGTGTATCGTTTTTGGTAAAAATTAATCTAAATTTCGGTTAGTTTAACATATACTTACGCGCATTTTAATTTGAAACATACGGAATTAAGTTGTGTCGCCTTTTTAAAATACTTAAATATGAATATTTTTATCTATGTTTAGTTTACTTAACTTTTAATTCTAAAGCAAGTAAAAACATCTGTTCAGATACCTAGTTATCCTCAGAATAATTATGGATGAGAGGTGCATCTACAGAAATTTACTTGTGATTGGGATCTTGAAGAGCAATTAACTTTTAAATTTTCAACTAATTGCCTATAGGTACTTAGAGCGTTATTTGTCTGCCAGCGTCAGACGAATTTTGTTCTTATGATATGAAGGGATTCGCCGGAGCAATTTGAAAACGTGAAAAAGACCCACAAAGCATTTTCACAGAAAACAAATCAATGTTGCTACGTTATTTTTAGACAGCACGACGTCTGCTAGGACACTTTTATTTCCACTATTTCACCACGTCGCTTTTATTTTATAGCACCTTCAAACAAAAAATCGGAACAAAAACCNGTATTTGCCTACAAATGCCTACTAATAGGTATAAATAGTACGATGTAATTTTTTATAATTAAACTGCTGAAGGAAAGCCAACATTTTCATTCGTTACAGAAAGTTTTCGTCATGTAGTGTACAAAATCACATGAATTCTACAAATATCTCTTACTATTGATGTGAAAATTCATTTCATTCGCTTCCTGGCGAGGGTGTCATAGCAGCAATAAAATTTTGCTCATTATCTTGAGGTAATTTACAGTGGGTAAAAATTAAATTAAATGAATTTTCACTTCGATATTTAGTCGATGCGGTGTTTTCGTCCGGTTTTTTTTGGCCGTGGTCCGTGAAATTTTACTTTTCAAAACGTAACGACGAAACGTTTGGAAAAGTAAGTAAAATACCATGGACCACGCTCAAAAAGCCCGAAAAAAATACCGCATTTAGTAGTAAAGTGTTTCGAACACTACTAATTTCTCTTACATTGACAAAAGAATGATTTTCTATAGAATATTACTTAGGTACTGCTTATAATCAAGGTATGATCTAGATTCTAGACCGTTAAACTACGTCGCTTGGGGAAGTTCCTCGATTATTTGATGACTTTTTACTGTAATCAGCAACAATATTGTTTCACCACACTATTGCTTGTCGTCACCTGATGTAGCCACAGTTTTATTTGCAAAAAATGTAAAACGATATGTGCTTCCTTGAAAACGTGAAAAAGACCCACAAAGCATTTTCACAGAAAACAAATCAATGTTGCTACGTTATTTTTAGACAGCACGACGTCTGCTAGGACACTTTTATTTCCACTATTTCACCACGTCGCTTTTATTTTATAGCACCTTCAAACAAAAAATCGGAACAAAAACCATGGGAAGCTACATTTTCATTTTACATTATTAGGTATATATATATTATAAAAGGTGCTTCGTTTGTTAGAACCTTAACGCCTGCTAATAAATCAGTTTATTGAAGAGTTTGTTTTAATAGCCCTTCACTTAACCGACTGTTTGAAGGTAGTTAGCGATGTGTGGCTAAAAAGGCGACAAATATGTACATAAAGGTAACGGATAATCGCAAAAGAAAAGAAAAATTACAATTTTTTGCAGCTACAAAATCGTATATACCACACTTGAGATGATGTTTGCTTTCGTCTAGAAGTCTAGACGATTCTGTTTTACATGTAATGTCGTCATTATTATAAGTCGCTAAAGATTTCGTATCACTCGTAACCACTTGAAAAATTATCCTGTCTTTCTGATAATTTCTATAATTAGGCATAAAATATAAACTCGATGAATAAATGGGAAATTGTTCTCCTAAATAATAATAATTCAAAATAAAACGAAAAGAGACTCATCCTAGTTGCTCTAAAACCTCGCTACAAAACATCCCTCATTTTTTGGTTGATAGTAAAGTGGTCTACAATAATTTTAGTTAGAACAATATCATCATTAAGTCCTAAGACTGGTTGGACACGTACCTCCACTCTTTCCTATCCTGAGCTAAACTTCGCATTTCCCTAAAACTAGAACAATCCACATCCTTAACTATTTGCGAACAGTAATCTAACCTAGGTCTACCTCTACCCCTCCTAACTCCTGTTTCTGCCTCTAATATGTCTCTGACTAGACCTTCATGCCTGAGAAGGTGTCCTACCAACCTATCTCGTATATTTCTTATTGACTTCATTAGAGTCCTCTGTTCTCCTATTCTTTCTAATACCTCTTCATTTCTAAAACAATATCTTAACAAGGATAATTTGATTGGTTGATGTTTAGATACCTATTAACAGGTGTTTGAAGTCAAACGTCAGTTTGTCCATAAATATTAATAAGTAATTAATGTCTTGAATGATAAGTGTTAACAGTTACATATATAATGTTCGGTTAATTTAACCCCTTGTCGTTTTTTTTTTCACGTCTCAGATGAGTATTTCTTGTTTTTTTTTTCGTCTTTCGCATGCACTTAGTTACGATATTTAGATATCGCGTGAAGGAACTTTAGGTTAGAGTAAGTATACGTACGAATTGCATCAATATTCATATATGAAAATGGCTTTTTGTTTACTTCTGAGGTGAATTTTATGCCGTCTGGTTTGGAAATTGAAAATTAAAATGAACGCCGATATTCAGTCGAGATGCATTTGATAAATAAGCGATGTCACCGGTGATGTTAATTCGCCAACTTTCGATGCACTTTTGCAACTCGATCGTCCTTTATTATGCATACGGACGGAATACCGTTTATAAACTGGCTACAACATTACTAACCTACCTTTAACATTTTTTTATTGCGCTCCTGAGATATTTTAAACGTTCTCGGAAAACATTCGGAGTACGAATTACAATAAAAATAAATAGAAACGTGTAGATTATATAATTGACATAAAAGTGACAAAAATCAATCATCCTTTTCATGCGACCTGAAGTGTATTCTTCACCATCAGCTTCCAACAATGATAAATCAGTTTCTGTTCAACAATTTTTGAAAATATAGCGATTTTTTTATTTGATTCGTATAGCTAGTGACCTTTGAATCCCCAGGATAAGACCGGATTCGACTAGGTACCTAATACCAATGTCTTTACATAAATTAATAAGCAATTACTAATAATATTCTAAAGTATTAGCTACTGTTCTAGAGTCACTCTTCTTGGAAATACACTTCTATAATCACCTCTAACATCTGCATTTTCTTATTTGGAGAGTGATGTAATTCTGCTTTAAATTTGGGAAATAAATTGAGTATACAAATATTCCGAATACATCATTTGGACGTTTGCATATCTAAAGTGCACGTTGTGATAAGATAAAAAGTTAAGAGATAAAAGGAAATACCCGAATAACTGAAGCTCTTCTAAAATTATTATGTATTTGCCTACAAATGCCTACTAATAGGTATAAATAATACGATGTAATTTTTTATAATTAAACTGCTGAAGGAAAGCCAACATTTTCATTCGTTACAGAAAGTTTTCGTCATGTAGTGTACAAAATCACATGAATTCTACAAATATCTCTTACTATTGATGTGAAGATTCATTTCATTCGCTTCCTGGCGAGGGTGTCATAGCAGCAATAAAATTTTGCTCATTATCTTGAGGTAATTTACAGTGGGTAAAAATTAAATGAATTTTCACTTCGATATTTAGTCGATGCGGTGTTTTCGTCCGGTTTTTTTTGGCCGTGGTCCGTGAAATTTTACTTTTCAAAACGTAACGACGAAACGTTTGGAAAAGTAAGTAAAATACCATGGACCACGCTCAAAAAGCCCGAAAAAAATACCGCATTTAGTAGTAAAGTGTTTCGAACACTACTAATTTCTCTTACATTGACAAAAGAATGATTTTCTATAGAATATTACTTAGGTACTGCTTATAATCAAGGTATGATCTAGATTCTAGACCGTTAAACTACGTCGCTTGGGGAAGTTCCTCGATTATTTGATGACTTTTTACTGTAATCAGCAACAATATTGTTTCACCACACTATTGCTTGTCGTCACCTGATGTAGCCACAGTTTTATTTGCAAAAAATGTAAAACGATATGTGCTTCCTTCCGGCACTATTTTTCTTACGACACCCTGTATAAAAATAGTTTTATATTTCGTAATATCGCCGAATCGCTTCTATAATATTGGTAGGTACACGTACGTATAGGCAAGATAAAATTTTTAGCTTTTGTTTGGTAGTAATTAACGATTATTATATAGATAGATATGTATACTGTGTCTACCTATTGTTCATTTAACCTTTGTTATTGTGTACGTACGCCACATAAATATAAATACGTATACAGCCTTCCCACGATTCTCCATTCCTTTCTTCATCTTAAGCGGTGCTTGAGCCACTTGACCTTCATCTTTCTGATTTGTGACCATGTTTGCTTTCTAATTCGACCAATAATAATAGAGACACAAAACAACTTCTACTCTACTTATACGCGTATCTGTCTCTCTTTCCTGCTCGTTCTTTTT